ACAGTCATTAATCTCTGGCAAACATTGTGTCACTGTGTTGTTGTTGTTTGTTAGTAAATGTACTACACAAATGTGGTCACATGACATCCACTGTTTGCCCTCTCATTGGTCATCTCTCCTTCAATACTTATTTGCATAAAGTTTTATGCATTTAATCAGTTTTAGCTCTGGATGAAACTGAATAATGGTTTATCGCTGCTTAAATCAGTTTTAATGCTCTTTGAAAGCAAAAACTCAAAAACAAAATCAGCCAATCAGAACATTATGATGCTTAATATTCAATTATGTGTAACATCCAATGAGATTCACTGAAAGTCACCAAAATAGGTCTGTGCTTGCTGCTTATTTTGATCAGGACATTTTGTGGTTAAAGTTGTCTTATTAGCTGATTTCCAAGTTTGTTTGTTTTTTTTTTTTACCTTTGGGACAGTTATATAATTACTCTATTAAATATGTCTGTGTTGTTTATTTAAGTAATTATATTTAACCAGTTTAATCTGTCACAATGTTACCAGTCTTTTTTCCCCTCATCAACAAAAGCCATATTTCACTGCATTTATGTTTATTTACAGACTGTTTAATGCTGCTCATGTATTTACACAAAAATTGCATAATGTAAATAGCCTATTAATTAAAGAAACAAGAACTCATTAGAGAGCAAAGCTGCAATATCATGACTAAATTATTAATCATTGCTCTTGATATTCTATAAATGATTATTAATGTCGATGAACTAATTTTGACATTTAGGCACTTTAGAAAATGTGGTTGGAAATATAGGTTTGTTAAATCTAGGGTATTTAAGTCATTTTAAAATAAATAGCAATATTCTGTGCTAACAAATATTCCTAAAAGGTGGTTGATTTGCAACAAGGACACAGTTCTGTTCATAACCCTGCTGGTGAAGAAGTGACAGGTACAAGAACAAAAAGGAAGAGACAGAGATATTTGTGGCTTTTAGAATTTGTTGTGGGTGTTTAGGATGGTCTGAGATTTCCCGGCCTGAAACTGTGTCCCAGTCCAGCCCTGGGTCCATGTCTTCAGTCTGATGTGAGTTCACTTTCACAAAAACTCCTGTTATAATCACTGAAGCTGTCTTGCAGAGTTGGGTATAACATGTTACTGTATTCGAATTACTTTTCCTGATAACGCAGCAATGCATTACATTTTAAATTAATGTGATTTGATTACAGTTACTAATGTCAATAAAATTATGTTACTTAATGTATGTATTAATTAATGATGTATTACTCTTATCCATACGATCAAAAATGATGGAACATTTTAAGTTATTTTCTCTGATATCTGGAAAAAATTCAAGTGATCCTTCAAGTTGCTGGTTTCATATGTAATTTTTCAGTCAATATTAGGCCTAAATTACTGAAAGAACTATGAGTTTCACTTTTTTGTTTGATAACTTGCAAAGTAAAATAAACTTGAAAGTAAAGTAATCTGATTACTTTTTAAATGCAGTAGCTAATTAGTAATGCAATTCAATTGCGATCTTAAAGGAGTAATTAGTCATTTGTAGCGGATTACTTTTTTGAGTAACTTACCCAACACTGCTGTCTACACTTCATCAATCTCTTACTTATCTCTTCTGCACTTCAATGATGATGAGGGAATTCGAGAATGCTGATAAATGATTATAAAATTATTTATGAATTCTCAGTCAGCGAGAGCGCACACTGAACAGTTCCCGAGTTCTCCGCGCTGACGAATCAAAACGCTTCTGATTGGCCACTGCGTTCATAAACTCAACAGAAACGTGTGTGATTGGTTCAAACGCTCAACGGTGCGAAAAGCACAATAAAAAGAAATTTGATGCAACAGTAAATGTAACGCCGCAATCGACACTTCCCATGCATTTCACATTTTTTTTGTGTTTGACTCACTTCTCCTCGATCAGTTGTTTCTGATACTCCTCGAACTCTTCCCTGCTCATTCCTTTGGACGCCGCCGTCTCTTTTCCGCCCTCTTTCTCCTCTCCGTCGGTGTTTCCTCCTCCTGTCATGTTCTTCAGTTTGTCCCCCAACATCTGCTGCAGGAGGAAGGACATCTTCTCTGCTTTTAGGCCTGAAGATTAGATGAACTATCCAGTATCCACTCGTTTCAGAAAGCGGCTTTCCAGAAGCAAGTTTTCTGGTTCAGAAGCTTGTTTTGGAGCAACGATAACAATATGAAGACAATAGGGGTGTGCGAGTTACAGATTTGGCACCTGTGATGAAGATGAGGGTGATGAAAACGGCTCAAGAGCTTAGCTCATTATAAATGCCTCACCTTGGGCCAAGGACGAACAGCTGTTATCTTCATGCATAATTCTGCTGATCTGAAATACATATCAACTAGTGTTCATTCGTTTTATTAACAGAAAACATGTACAAAGTCTGAGACAACTAGTGAAAAATGCTTTTTTGCATGCCTTTCTAATACAATAAACGTTTTTAATTACAAATACTGTTGAAAAAATGAAACATGAGCATGAAGCTGTGTAACTAAAATTAAAATGAATAAATATTATATGAAAATAATAATTAGGCCTATTTAGTAAATTATTTTTTTTTACTGTTATACAATTTTTAAATAAAAACTTAAAAATAGTTTTTGTTAATTGCAATAAGGCTGAAATAAAATATAAATATTAGGTGAAAATAATTATTTATTTTACAATTATAAAATTGTTGTTAACTAAAATTAAACTACTAACAAATTGTTTTTGTTAATTGAAAACTTTTTACTTATGTTATTATGGCACTGTGTTATAGTGATTCTTTTTTTGATCACATTCTGAAATGTAATTAGATGTTTAAATTTAACCTCATTTCACTTTGATTAGAGTAAAGGTAAATGTTGGCACACCTTACCCCTCTGCTCTCTATGTGAAGTGTGCCTGCGCATATAAAGTTGAAAAACTGAATGCTTTTATTTTCTCTTTAATCAGATCAAGTTCTCGCTGCTCTGCTGCCTGTGGACAGGAGCCTCATGGAGGTTTGTTTGAACTCCAGCTCTATCGTATGGTGAGTACAGTGAAGTACAGCTCTGAACTTAAAATTTCAGCAGTTGAATATTATATTTATCACTCTAACAAATATATAATTTATATTTATTAATTTAGAATATTTTGTAAATTTGTGAACCATATTGGCATTAATATTCACAGCTGTTCTTCTGGTACAAATGTATATGTTGTGCAATCAAATGCAACTATCTAATATTGAAATCAATCATTATGATATTTTAGAACACTGCATGTATTTTGTGAACTTGGTTGAAGGTTGAAATACAAAAAGAAAGCACTCGGTGCTGAATTCCACATGGCTGGCTGTCCTGAATGATTGAGTGGGTTTTAATGGACGCTCTGATGTTTCAGGTCAGTGTTTGTCCCGACAGAAAAACCCCAGGCTCCGTCTCGAACAGACAGCATCTCTCTAAATTCACTCTCATCCTTTATGAAGTCGTCTCTGTGATTGACAAAACCATTTGAGGACCGTTTTAAAAAGAGTTTATGATGTTTATGGCCGTATACATTCATAATGAATGGCCCAAATGGCCTTGCAAAGCCTAATCCCAAACCGCTGCATTATTCAGCAATAATAATAATAATAATACAAATATTATTATTGTTGTTATTATTATTAATATTAATAATAATAATATTAATAATTTTGCTAATTTTGCTATTATTATTATTATTGCTGAATAATGCAGCGGTTTGGGATTAGGCTTTGCAAGGCCATTTGGGCCATTCATTATGAATGTATACGGCCATAAACATCATAAACTCTTTTTAAAACGGTCCTCAAATGGTTTTGTCAATCACTAAGACTCAAACAAAAATCTAATATAAATATTAGATGAAAATCTAAAAAAAAAGTTAAACTAATAAAATATATTATTATATTATTCAAAATATTAATAAAAACTAACCATTTCTCAAAGATACTAAAATAATTAATATTAATAATAATAATATTAATAATTTTGCTGTTGTAGTTGGTTCTTTTGATGTTGTTGATGTTATTAATCTAAAAATAATAATAAGTATTATTATTATTAAATTATTATAATATAACTGTGGTTAATAATCATAAAAGTAATTTTTTAATTATTATTATTTTACTTATTTTTATTATTATTATTAATAACAAAACATTGTTTATTTTTTTATAATTGTGATTATAATTGTAATATAACTGATATTAATAAAAATAATAATAATAATAATTTGTTATATTAATAACAACATAAAAACATAAAATTATTATTTTAAATTATAATAACCATGATATTAATAATAATTATTGTTATTTATATTTACAGTTACATTTTAAAATATAATTATTAACAAACAACAGCAACATTTATTTTTAATTAGTGTTTTTATTATAATACAATACTTATAATTATATTAATAATGAAAACAACAACAAAATAATCATAATTATTATTTTGTAATTGTTGTAATATTATTGTAATTGTAATAGTATAACTTATATTTATTACTTTTTTAAATAATTTTAATTAGAATATTCTATTATATTTTTATTATAATTATTATTAATTATTATATCAACAACAACAACTAGCATAATAATAATAATAATAATTATTATTATTACTACTACTGTGATGTTACATTAAACATGTTTTGCAGGTTACAAGTAGTTGCATTTTCCTCATTTTAATTTATGAATAATAATATGGTTTTAAATTTACCAATAAAATAAAAATAATTGATCAACTGTTATGTAAAGAAACATTATTTGACTAATTTCCTGGTCTATATAGACTGCAAATGTCATATTACATGCACTGAGCTTGCACCAGCACAAAGCCTGCTAGCACAAGCCTGATACACAAGCCTCCTGAGTACTAAACAGATGACATTATCACACAGAGCCTCAGCCAATCAGAGCGCAGCAGGAAATGCAGCTCCACCAATCACAGGAGACCGAGGGAGGAGTCTGTGTTTCCAGTCTCTCTGCTGTGAGAGAGAGAATGAGAGAGGAACATACAGAGGAGAGACTGTGCTGGGATGGAGAGACAGGGATGCTGTTGCTAGGGAACAGTAAGGAGATGTCCATCTTTTACAGCTTGCTCCACATACAGCAAGGTTCGGAAAGGTTTACCTTTTATAAAGGAGGGCGATAAATGCACCATATAATAGAGAGAAGGATAAAAGGAAGGGGAGGAGACGCCAGGTGACATGACGTAATCTGGAGTGAAGAAGAATTAAAAAACACATCTGATAACTGCTCAAAAGTAATCTGTATGTTGTCGTTTCTGGATGATAATGGCCATGCACAGATCCTGAGACACTGAAAATCATCCACCCGCCCCAGATGCCTCCCTTTGTCTGAGGAGAACCACAGACGGGACCGGCTTCACCCGACAGACAGACAGACAGACAGACAGACAGACAGAGTCAGCTCTGAAGTTCGCCGTCCGGCATGAACGCTATGGATTTAATCAAGAGCTGAGAAATCAACAGGCCTGAAGGTGAAGCACAGAGAGAAACCAGCGCCTGCTGAGAGAAACTCCCTTCTGCTGTGAGTGTTTGACCAGATGAGCCATGTTTGCAACCCCTTTTAATTCCACAGCGTGACGTATTTCTGAGTAAACAGGACGTTCAGTGAGATAAATGTAGATTTCTCCGTGTGGAACTGATTGGATGCTGAAAGGTGTTTGTATGTGACAGGTTGATGAGGGGAGGGTTAAATACTGTAGGCAATGTCAACAAACAAATGAAAATATTTCAGATCTGCAGTTATTATATTTTGATGAAAGATTATATTAGCATTATACTATATATATATATATATATATAGAGAGAGAAAGAGAGAGAGAGAAAGAGATTTTTTTAATTTGTTGTAATATTTTGAGTTTTCATTTTTGTTTTTTCAGTTTTCATTCAGTTTAAAAATGTTTGTACTCTGTTTTTGTTATTTCATTATTAAATGTTTAAAAATATATATGTGTCTATATAGTTTTTATTAATTTTTACGTTTATTTTAGTTTTAGGGAAATGTTACTTTGGCAACTATAGCTGAAATAAAATGTTTAAGTTTTTATTTTTGTATTTTCCTTTTTAAAATTTTGATTAATCATTTAGTTGTAGTTCAAGTTTTAGTAATTGTGTTGTGTTTTTGTAATTTGTATTATTTATTGTATTTTTTAAATATGCCTATTATTTATTAGGTTTTTGTTTGAGTTATTTTAGTACATCAGTTTAAACTAAATGAAAATGGGAAATGTTGCTTTGGCAACTAGCTTAAATAAACTAAGTTTGGTTTTTTATATTTTATTTGATTTCTTTTTTATATTTAGAATTCGTTTTTATTTTTGTATTTTCCATTTTAATTTTAATATTGGTGTGTTTTTGTCATTTTTATTATTTATTTCTTAAATACATTTTATTTTTGTTATTTTTAAACAAAATAAAAATGTGAAATGTTGCTTTGGCAACTAGCTGAAATAAAATGTTTAATTTTGTTATATTTTATTTGATTCATTTTTTTGAATTCGTTTGTATTTTTGTATTTTCCATTTTCATTTTAGTTCAATTTTTATTAATTTGGTGCGTTTTCATCACTTTATTATTTATTGTGTTTTCAAATATGTCCATATAGTTTTTATTCATTTCGATTTTAGTTTTAGTTATTTAGTATGTCAAAGTAAACAAAAAAAAAATGTTTAAGCTGAAATAAAATAAGTTTAAGTTTTTTTGTCATGTTGACAAACCTCTGATGGGGAGTGATTTGAGAGTGTTTCAGCCATAAACACAATATCACTGTTAAGTCAATTCAAAATATTAAGTACAGGCGTGAAACACATTCCATGTATTCCTCAAATCATGTTACTTGCTGAAGAGAGAAACTTAATGCCATTAGCTCATTTAAGAGAAGTAATTGAGAGAATAATATGTGGTTTTAGCCTGTATAGCCACCTCTGAATGTGCTGATCTTCTCAGTGTGATCGGGAGCAGAGGATGGGAACCACTGAAGCCACTTTACGCATGGAGAACATGAAGGTGAAAGATGAGTGGCAAGACGATGATTTCCCACGGTAAGACCTTCAGCCGCTGTCTGACTGACTGAGACATAAACACTGACTCTGTGTTCAGAATAACATACTACCATGCTATTTTTGCATACCTGTGCATATGAATCTTCTGTTTGCACAGAATATGACCTACAACATTTCCCAAATGTGCAGTATGCAGTGCATGAGATTCTGTATCCCACAATGCATTGTGCTCAACTTCAAATGCAACATAGAGAGGTTGAAATTGTAGCATTTTAGCATAGTTTTTGACATAAATAAGAGCTGAAGTGAATGTGGATAGAAGCTCAGATCATTTGGTCTTTGAAGAATTGATGATAAATGTTTGAGTTCACATTGAGATCTGACTTTTGACTGTTTACTACTGTAATACTGAAACATTTCTGATTATTATCAATGTTGAAAACAGTTGAGCCGCTTCATATTTTTGTGGGAACTGATCATTCAAAAGTTTGGGGTCAGTAAGAGTTTTATTTTAAAGAAATTAATTTAATCAAGGATACATTAAATTGATCAAAAGTGACAGTAAGGACATTTATAATGTTGCAAAAGATTTCTATTTCAAATAAATGCTGTTCTTCTGAACTTTGCATTCATTAAAGAATCCTGAAAAATAAAATGTATCAGTTTCCACAAAAAAATATGAACTGTTTTCAATATCAGAAATGTTTCTTGAGCAGCAGATCAGCATATTAGAATGATTTCTGAAGATCATGTGACACTGAAGACTGGAGGAATGATGCTGAAAATTCAGCTTTGCAACACAGCAATAAATTACATTTTACGATATATTCACATAGAAAACTGTTATTTTAAATTGTAAAAATATTTCACATTTTACAAATTTTACTGTATTTTTTTATCAAATAAACGCGGCCTTGTGAGCAGAAGAGACTTCATTCAACAACATTTTAATTACTCCAAAATGTGTGTACACGATCAGTACTGCTATTGATCTGTATATTGATACTAGTTATAATGATTTTTCCTTGCTAATAAGCAGATTTCCACCTCTGCTATATGACACCAGGCTTGTAAACATCCATGAGGCTTGTTAGTGGCGAGTTATTTTCCTCCGCAGCGCAGGCGTCTTTGAATTCTGATCGATTATGTCAGATCAATATTAGAGCTCAGAGCGTGTGGAGCTGAGGATGTGTTATCTAGCTGCACATGAGGGAGAAATGAAGGTGAATCATGGCATAAACAGTCCAGAAGCAGCATGTGGGTCAACATACAGTACATGAAGACATAAAGAGCACAGCCTTACATAATAATGCATTACCATTTCTGGACAAATATGAGGTCATCAGTGTTGCCATGACAATGAGGCTAGTAAGAGACACAGAGTGCTGAATAATTGATTGTGCACATTATCACATAAACCCACACTGAACAAAATCTTGCTGAAGTAGGTTTTTAATTGTCATGTACAACTTTCTCTCTGATGAACCTGATTATGTTTTAGCTTTTGATAATTTTGCATTTAAAGTTTTACACACAATTTCTGATGAAATAATCCTAAATCACCATGGCACAGCGATTATATCCTATGGTAATATCATAATACTTTGATATATACTATGGTACACTGTAAAAAAAAAAAAAATGTTGTCAAGTAGCCTATAAATTCCTCATGTGGTAACTATTTATTTATGTATTTATTTAAATAATTTGCAATTAATATTATTTTAATAAATGCTTCACGTGATAACTGTTTTATGGAATTTAATATATTAAATAATATTAATCAATAATAATATTTAAATAAATGCTTCATTAATGCTATTAATATATATTAAATAATATTAATCAATAATAATATTTAAATAAATGCTTCATGTAGTAACTGGTTTTATTAATAGGTTTGTTTGTTTCTATGTTTCTTTATTTATTTCTTTATTTTAATATTTTTATTAGTATTATTAAAATAAATGCTTCACGTGGTAACTGTTTTTATGGAATGTAATATATATTAAATAATATTAATCAATAATAATATTTTAATAAATGCTTCATGTAGTAACTGGCTTTATTAATCGGTTTGTTTGTTAATTCATTCATTAATTTTAATATTTTTATTCGTATTATTTAAATAAATGCTTCATTAATGCTATTAATATATATTAAATAATATTAATCAATAATAATATTTAAATAAATGCTTCATGTAATAATTGGTTTTATTAATATTAATAAAAAATATTACAATAATGCTTAATGTGGTAACTGTTTTATGCAATTATATAATTATATATTTAATATATATATATATATATATATATATATATATGCTTCATGTGGTAACAGTTTTGTGCAATATAATATTTAATTATATTATTTAATTTAATATTTAATTAATTAATTAATTTGTTTGTTTATAATATTAATAAATAATATTGAAATAAATGATTGATGATATAATAGTCTTTATGCAATTTAATATTTCATAATTTAATTAGTCTGATTTCATTATAAAAAGAAACTTACTTTAAAAATAAAGTTACTTTTTAAGGCTTAGATCAGTTGAAATAGATCCTTAACAACTGCATGGTTTTATGTTAGCTTTCAGTGTACTGATAGATTACCATTACCACAGATTAATATTCCATATACTACATATTACAATGGTGCATATGCAAAGAATGGTACATTTTATATTAGTGTCAAACATTAAAACTTACTTCATGATAATGGTTTAGACAGATAATGGATGCAGCAGACACTATCTTTATAAGCATCCGGTCGCAAAAATTGTCTGAACTGAGTTCTGTAACCCTCATTATTGCACTGCACTCTCTAATTAACCAGCAGCACGTCCCCTGACACCGCACAGCCTGCTGGGTAATTACACACCGACTGTAGTCAGCACGAGATACACAAACACTGCTGATGGTAATGCCAGAGAATGATGGGTTAATTGTGTGCTTCACTCCTGCTGAAACATACTGTTTGTTCAGGCTCCACACAGAAGTGCAAACGGCATCATTTACAGAATGTGTGTACATTACCACTGACCTCTGTGTGAGCCAAAACCGACTTAATCATCATCGTGTTGAATTATTGTTTAATCTTGAGGCTGTAGCTTGTTAACTGTCTCTGTTCTGTAGTAAAAGTGCTATATTTATCACAGAGACTTGAGGATGCATGACTCTTTTCACTTGACTAGTAAGCTTAAAAGGCACCCCAAACACCCTAGCAACCACCATTAATAACCTAGCAACACTAGCAAAAAAACTATACATTAAATAACTCAACAACCAGTTAAAGCAGCACTATGTAACTTTTGGCGCTCTAGCGGTTAATAAACAGAACTGCACACATCCCGCGGAAGAACATTCCAACCGGAGCTACTTCTCTAAGTTTATGTCTCTGGCGATTCACGCAGGTATGTGTTACTCCGCAGCGGTGACGACCCGACCAGGCTACAATAGTCCAAATATAAGTACTTATTATAAGTGTACCGTAGCGATTCGGAATAAGACAAAAACGCGTTTTGGAAGATTAATTCATGATGTACTCGCTCATTATATACATTTTGCAAATTTTGAACACAGAAAAAGTTGCATAGTGCTGCTTAAAGGCCAATTATTATTGTGGGTCACTGAGTCATTATTGTAAATTTAAGTGGCTCTATAATGACAGAGGGAATGTGTAGATGTGTGTGTGTTGTGGTCGTCTGTAGAATTTCTCTGGCTTGATTTCCAGGCCTCTTCCTGAAGACGGTGATTTAGATGGACTCACTGACAACACTGGTAAGTTCATCTCAGTGCATCTCATCCATGTGTTTTTCACTGTGGAAAAGACTTTTATTATGAAATCTTTATTGACACACTGCTAATAAAATAGCAGAATTGAGAAAGATAATCCACAGATTTCATTAGAAGAAGAGGAAACTGGTTCAGGTTGAAAGTTGAATCACCATTAATTAAAATTACAAATATTTTTATTTTTAATAATTTTATATTAAATTATAGAAAATAATTATATATTTTTAAAAGTAATTAATAGTTAACATATAAATGTTAACTGAAATAAAATAAAATATATAAAAAAGTTAAACATTTTATTTCAATTAGTTGCCTGGGCAACATTGTTTTTCAACATAATTTCATTACATATCATAATCATAAAATTTTAAAATAAATTTCATGATCATAACACAATTTTTTATTAGTTTAAGTCAAAGTAGTACAATTACTAAAACTAAAATTAAATAGACATTTAAAAAAGGAAAACAAACTAAAAAACGGACAAAAACACAAAATTACTAAAACGAACAAAATAAAATGTTTTATATTTAATTATTAAAATAATTATTATATATTTTTTAAAATAATTATTAGTTAATAAATAAATGTTAACTGAATTGAAATATAAAAAACATTAACTTTCATTTTATTTCAATTAGTTGCCAGAGCATAATTTTTTTCCAATATAATTTCATTACATATCATAAACATAACATTTCAAAATAAATTTCATATTTAGAACATAATTATCATTTAGTTTAAGTTGAAGTACTAAAATTACTGAAATATCACTCTGAATAAAAATGTAAAAAGAAAAATAAATGAAATAAAAAGAAAACAAACAACAACAAAAAACAGAATTACTAAAACAAACTGAAATGAAAATGCAAATGAAAAGCAGAAAAATAAAAACTATTTCAAAATATGAATGAATCCTCTATTAGTATATTAATGATACTAAAAATTCACTGCTGTCTTCTGGTTGAAGAGTGTTTTTCATAAATTAAAGGGGTTCTTTTTTTTATGTAAATGTGTTTCATTTTGGCAGCTTCTTTTATAAATGTTTGTGATTTCTCTGTCCAGCTCTGACGGCGGATCACGTGGATTCTGTCCGACAGAAGCGCCGCACGCTGATCGCTCCGGATATCAACCTGTCGCTGGATAAAAGCGAAGGGTCGCTGCTTTCTGACGACTTCCTGGAAACACCAGACGACCTGGACATAAACGTGGACGACATCGACACGCCAGACGACGACTCTCTCGGCTCCCTCAACAACGGCAACGAGCTGGAATGGGAAGGTCAGCCAGAGGTCAAAGGTCGTGTGGTTTTGGCTGGAAAACAGGAAACATTACAGAACAAATCTCATGTTGGTTTGCCAAAGCTACTCATGCTAACAACTTGCTAAATCATGTTAGCAACATGTTAAAACATGCTAGCAATGTGCTAAATCATGCTACAAACATGCTAGCAACAGCCTAGCACTAAATCATGTTAACAACATGTTAAATCATTCAAACAAAATACTAAAACATGTTAGCAATGTTTTAAATCATGTTAGAAACATGCTAGTACAATATTAAATCATGATAACAACATGTTAGCAATGTTAAATCATGATAGACATGTGCTAGAAATGTCTTAAATCATGCTAGCAACATGTTAAAACGTGCTAGTAATGTGCTAAATCGTCTTAGAAACATGCTACCACCATATTAAATAATGCTAACAGTGTGTTAAATCATGATAGCAGCATGTTAAAACATGTCAGCAATGTGCTAAATCATACTAGTAAAATACTAGAACTGTATTCAAATCATGTTAGCAATGTGCTAAATTAAGTTAAATGTGCTAACTCGTGCTAGAAACATGTTAGCATTGTGCTAAATCATGCTAACAGCCTGTTAAAACATGTTAGCAACGTGTTAAATCATGCTAGAAACATGCTAGTACAATATTAAATCATGCTAAAACATATTAAACATGTTAGAAATGTGCTAGAAATGTATTAAATCGTGCTAGTAATGTGCTAAATCATCTTAGAAACATGCTACCACCATACTAAATAATGCTAACAGTGTGTTAAATCATAACAACATGCTAAAACATGTCAGCGATGTGTTAAATCATGCTAACAACTTGTTAAAACATACTAGCAATGTGTTAAATCATACTAGTAAAATACTAGAACTGTATTAAAATCATGTTAGCAATGTGTTAAATTATGTTAACTGTGCTAACTCATGCTAGAAACATGTTAGCAATGTGCTAAATCATGCTAACAACCTGTTAAAACATGTTAGCAATGTGTTAAATCACACTAGAAACATGCTAGCAATGTGCTAAATCATGCTAGAAACATGTTAAAACATGCTAGCAATGTGTTAAATCATACTAGTAAATTACTAGCCCTGTATTAAATCGTGTTAGCAATGTGCTAAATGATGGTAACTGTGTTAAATCATGCTAGAAACATGTTAGCAATGTGCTAAATCATATTAAGAAGATTTTATAGACTTGTAAAATCTTCAAAATTAAAGCTTTTCAAAGTTACAAACTTTCGGACAAGGCCATCAAGCTTTACTCATCTAGTTACACAACATACTCAGATTTGCCCAATTAAATGCAGATCGTATTGTTTTTTCAGACGACACTCCAGTGGCCAGTGCGAAGGGTCCAGGCGGCGACGGCGGCGACGGTACGGGCCGTCTGTGGAGGACGGTGATCATCGGCGATCAGGAGCACAGGATAGACATGCAGGTCATCAGGCCGTACCTGCGTGTCGTCACGCATGGAGGTCAGTCGATGATATCAATATTTGAAATGACACAGATAGAACTTTTATTTATTTATATATATATTTATACTATATATATATAGTAACACTTTACAATAAGGATCCATTAGTTAATGTTAGTTTAAGGCACAATATGTAAGATTGTTTTATTAAAATATCCAAAAACCACTAGAACAGTGTTATATATTTTGCTGACTTGTGTACTTACATTATCCCAAATGTTTCGAAGAATGTTTAAATCCAGAGAAATAAGCAATTTTAACTAGTGTCACGGAGCGTGTCTATAGTGACATTGTGTCGCCTGCCGATGACGTCATAACCCCTCGATTTCCGGTTTTGTTTTGTAGAAAACATGGAAACACCAAAGACGCTTTAATATGTTGTGTGTTTTAATAGACCGGTGACGACCGCACAGAGTAGCATTATAACAGAACTTTCAAATGTATCT